GGCAGCTGTGGCGGTGGCAGTGGCATGGTCGCTCTCCGTGCCACCTACATGGAATCCCGGTTGACGGTGGTGGTGGTGGTGGCGGAGATGGTGGCGGTGGTGGTCGTGGTGGCAGTGATGGTGACGGTGGCGGTGACAGTGGTGGTGATGGTGGCAGTGGTGGTGGAGGTGGCATGGTCGCTCTCCGTGCCACCTACATGAAATCCCGGTTGATGGTGGTGGTGGCGGTGGTGGAGATGGTGACAGTGGCGGTGGTGGTGATGGTGGCAGTGGCATGGTCGCTCTCCGTGTCACCCACACGGAGTCCTGGTGGTGGGTGGGGACATGGGGGTGTCGCTGTGGAGGTGACAGGGACAGGGAGGTGTCACTGTGGTGGTGACAACTACATGGAGGTGTCACCACGGTGGTGACAGTGACATGGAGATGTCACACTGGAGGTGTTGGGGACACGGAGATGTCACTCTGGAGGTGACAGGGACAGGGAGATGTCACCATGGTGGTGACAGGGACATGGAGGTGACATTGTGGAGGTGACAAGGACATGGAGGTGTCCCTCAGGAGGTGTTGTGGACACTGGGCTGTCACTCTGGACGTGACAAGGACACGGAGGTGTCACGCTGGAGGTGACAGGGATGTGGAATTGTCACTGTGGAGATGACAAGCACAGGGAGGTGTCACCATGGTGGTGACAGGCACAGGGAGGTGTCACCCTGGAGGTGACAGGGACACGGAGGTGTCCCTCAGGAGGTGACAGGGACACTGGATGTCCCTCAGGAGGTGACAGGGACACTGGATGTCACCCTGGAGGTGACAAGGACATGGAGATGTCCCTCAGGAGGTGACAGGGACACTGGATGTCACCCTGGAGGTGACAGGGACATGGGGATGTCCCTCAGGAGGTGACAGTAACAGTGGGTGACACCCTGGAGGTGACAGGGACAGTGGGTGACACCCTGGAGGTGACAGGGACACAGTGTCACCCTGGAGGTGACAGGGACATGGAGGTGTCACCCTGGAGGTGACAGGGACATGGAGATGTCCCTCAGGAGGTGACAGGGACATGGAGGTGTCACCCTGGAGGTGACAGGGACACGGGTGTCACCCTGGAGGTGACAAGGACATGGAGATGTCCCTCAGGAGGTGACAGGGACACTGGATGTCACCCTGGAGGTGACAGGGACACGGGTGACACCCTGGAGGTGACAGGGACACGGGGTGACACCCTGGAGGTGACAGGGACATGGAGGTGTCACCCTGGAGGTGACAGGGACACGAAGATGTCCCTCAGGAGGTGACAGGGACACGGGGTGACACCCTGGAGGTGACAGGGACATGCAGGTGTCACCCTGGAGGTGACAGGGACAGTGGGTGTCACCCTGGAGGTGACAGGGACACGGAGACGTTCCTCAGGAGGTGACAGGGACACTGGATGTCCCTCAGGAGGTGACATTGACAGTGGGTGTCACCCTGGAGGTGACAGGGACACAGTGTCACCCTGGAGGTGACAGGGACATGGAGGTGTCACCCTGGAGGTGACAGGGACACGGGGTGACACCCTGGAGGTGACAGGGACACTGGATGTCACCCTGGAGGTGACAGGGACACAGTGTCACCCTGGAGGTGACAGGGACACGGAGATGTCCCTCAGGAGGTGACAGGGACACGGGTGACACCTGGAGGTGACAGGGACATGGGGATGTCCCTCAGGAGGTGACAGGGACACAGTGACGTTCCTCAGGAGGTGACAGGGACACGGAGATGTCCCTCAGGAGGTGACAGGGACAGTGGGTGTCACCCTGGAGGTGACAGGGACATGGAGATGTCCCTCAGGAGGTGGCAGGGACATGCAGGTGTCACCCTGGAGGTGACAGGGACATGGGGATGTCCCTCAGGAGGTGACAGGGACACGGGTGACACCCTGGAGGTGACAGGGACACAGTGTCACCCTGGAGGTG